GATTATCCCCTCTAATTTTTTTCTCCCATACTTTCTTCTGTGTAAATCTGCGTTATTGAATTAATGCAATGGTTTAGAGATGGAAAAATAAAAGTTAGAGGAGAGAGAAATGCTTTCACTTTATTTATATTTCCTTCACCTAATTGCTTGTTTGCTCCAACAACTTTAATCCTAAAAATTATATTTACCTACTCAGCAATTTGAAGGAATTGATCCTCAGGTGATCCAAATCCCAATTTGAACATCCATTAAAATGTTTGTATCAATTAGAAAGTAAAAAGACGACAATACACTAAAAAAACTCAAATAATTTAATGGAGAAAAAATTGAATTAATTGAGAAATATCATAATACAATACAATTAAATGATACAAATCATCTTCACTATTAACAAAAATGGAAATATAATATATTTTCAATGGTATTATCAAATATTGTGTTCTGAGGTTTATGGTGGTGAACGACCACCTACTGAACGACCAACTGGAACCATTCCATAATTGTCGTACAAACTCCGTCACAACCACCGTAAATTGTGGTGCCACATTTTATTGACATCTCACCAGTGATATTCACGCTGATAGCTAATGATGAAAGGTGGTATGGGAGTGGAGCTATTCTTGTATAACCAATTCTAGTTTTTTTTTATTCAATTTATTCTTTTTTTCCATCCTCTTTTTATTCTTATCCAAGCAGCAATCCATGGAACATTAATTGTCTTAGCAACATAAAAAGTAGGTGTAACGAATTATTTTCCTTTCTTCTTTAATTTGGTGAGATGATGATTATCTTGGATGATGTCTCCAACCTCTTCCAACTCCTCCTAGGTTGTGACTTATTCACTATTCCGCTAATGAACCAGAAGATTGCACGTATGACTGCTAAGACATACCTGAGTGTTACACGTGTGTTAGTATTAGAGGGTAAAAATCTAATAAACGTGATCCTTTTCGTACCTCTTGGCTTCATGAAACATATTAGTCATTAATGGAGCATTCTATGTATGAGGCTACTAGTAGGATATACATGTTACATTTTATTAGATGAACTATTTTAGCGGATACGTCCCATGTATACATCGATTATAGGACATATACCTATTTGTTGACTTTGAGTCTGTACATTGGGATGAGGTGTTGTTGTGACGATACTATATAATGGCCTCAGAGAGGTCTTTGTCTTTGATACGAGATAACTTGTTGAACACATGAGTTTATTTCAGGTATAAATATTTGTTATGTTTTATTTATTTCGTGAGTATTTATCAAATATACATAATATTTATAATTTGTTATGTACTAATATATTTTACTAGTGTTGGATATACGAGCATTTCCCGTCTATTTGTGGCAAGTGTGATCGTGGTCCTATCACAAATGACTTCTCACGGGCCACTAGATGAAGATCGAGGCATTCTCATTCAGGCGGTCTTCTAGAAGACATGTGGAATATAGATGCTCTGATCCTAGATGATGTCATATGGACACCCTATATAGATCATAGAGTATATTAAAAGTCCGATAAAACTATCCTTTTTTTGGGTTATATGCAATGGGAGAGTGTTGTTACTGCATATTTACCTGAGAGGTGTATGCGCCAATTTGATTATGTTCAAGACATTCCTAGATCAGTCCATGTTGTACCATTTAGGACCATTGATAAATGTTTTAAGTCTAACATTACGAGCAACGACCGTGCTATTATAGAAAATGCAATAGAGGTATCTTTTCTGGGACAATGTTTTAGATGGTTATTCAGAGTGGTACTTCAGAGTACCACTCACTAGCATCATCCCACGTGTTGAGTCTGCAAATGATATTGGACCTTAACATGATGAAGGGCTTTCAAATGGTGTGTCATCGCTTCCATCTAGTATGACTAACCAGCAATTGATGTAAATGATATCACTTCTTTCTGATAATTTCATGGGTTTGATAAACCCAAATGGTGATGTCTATGTAGGGTTGTCACAAATACAACACATTGTTCGTGGTGGACAAATTTAGATTTTATTTGTTTTGTTCATTATTTATTGTCTCTGATATTATTTTGGGTTGTTTTTTACTATTTTGTATTGTACCAGATTATTTTTATTTTGTTGACATTTAATCTTAATATTTCATTACATGAAAATTAACATTGTATTACTGTGATATGAACATAACATGACATAACTCAACATGAATATAACATAACATGGACCTAACACAAATATAGCTTAACCATTGATTGATAATTCAAGGCGTTTCATCATCTTAAGAATATCAATAGTATAACTTCCGAGTTTTGCATCCATCTCAATTGGACATTTTGTTGCGTAATAATAATAAAGTATACTCCACATAAGTCTTAGAGATCTTCATCCATCTTCAACTCAAATTTATTGAACCTAATATTCTCTTAATTATCAATCAATGGTGAATTATACTCGATCTTAACCACTCTTCGATTATTTGGGTAGTGCAAAAGTTTATCTTGTTTTGACTTCAAATATACAAGAAGGGTGTCCTCTATGACCCTAAGTTCAAAAGGAAGATCCACGTCGTTGAGTAAACAAATGCGAGATGCCAAAATTGAGATATTACAAGATTTTTTGTTAACAACATATAAGACGTATTTATACAAGTTTTAAATCATTATAGACCATACAAAAGTGTCGATGCAATCACAACTCTATAAAAGTGTCAGTGCAATCACAATCGTACAAAAAATTTAACTACCATAATTTTGAAATTTCTAATTAATCGTAACTATACACCGAATATTTTGAATAATCCGATAAAAACACATATTAAATTTTTAATAAAACTATCAGATTTTCCGCATTTTACAGGTTTTTGGAATATAATTTTTTTTCAAAAAATATAAATTTTTAGAGGAAAATATTAAGAGGGATACCTTTGACATTATTAAAATATGTGGGGTGGCAGCTAAATTTTTTCAATGTAGGGCAGCGTTTGTGTTATTTGATATATATGTAAGTATGCTTTGGAAATTTCTTAATGCAGCATAAATATCATTTATGTATTATGTGAAAAATCCGAAAATATCCATTAGATTTCAGAGATGTATCTCTGAACGCATCTCGTGCAACACATTTTATTCGTTTTTAAGTCACGCCTCAATTTAATGACTTAAATTATTCTAAAAATGCATTTTCAAAATCTCTGAAAATTCATTTTTGGAAACATGTCTCGTAAAACCAAAACAGTCATATATCTATCTAAGAAAAAAAGTATTCCCATTATATGACACACACTCTCGTAACTACAAGTTTATGCATTTCAAAAATTTATTTTCGAAGATATTCTAGAATAATTTAAGTCATTAAGTTAAAGTGTGACTCAAAAACAAATGAGTTGTGTTACATAAAATGTGTTCGGAGATGCATTTTTGAAATTTAAATAGCATTTTTGAATTATCACATTGTGCCTAAATAATATATCAGATACATTAAAAAATTCTCGTATACTTTTGAATTGGATTGGGGTAAGCTGCAAATTTTAATGGGCCTAGATTATTGTCACATTTTAATCAATGGGCCTAAATATTTGTTTTTTCACCCTTAATAAGCTAATCTTACACCTCTGCCAGAACAATTTTGTAGTGTCAATTTTTTCTTTGTTGCCAATTTTTACCAAAAAGTATAAATTATCTTAATGGCACCTTATAATGGGCAAGTCGAATACATTTTTTAATTTATTTTTCAAAGTTAAGACTTCTAAACTTCTATCTCTTGATTATTTTTCTTTTTTTTAATGCACAAGTGTTTTTTTTTTTATATATTTTTAGTCCATGCACAAGTGTCTTACAAACAACTCTTTAAAATATTTTTGAATGTATACAAAAACCACTTGCAGACAAAGCAACAAAAGTTAACACATTTGGAATTTAGAGTTTTGTTTTATATTAATTGATTTTTTTTATATGCAAAATTTATTTATAGATGTACATGTTGAGAAGAACGTGATAAATCTGAGTAGTGTGGATAATAGTTTTATATTGAGTTGAAAATATGGGAACTTGAGTATTTATAATAGAGAGAACTCACACACCTATCACTTTAAAATTTTGGATAAATATGTGGTGTGTATCCCACAATGGTGTTGCTCTAAAAAAAAAGTCTCACAATATTCAATGCTCTATAGTGAAAAACTCCCCTAAGAACATGGTATCATGTGTCATTGGTCGAGGACCAGCTTAATTGTATCAAAAGTCAATGGCGACACTAGAATGGTAAGTAAGAAACATTTCGTTGAAGAGTGTTAAAAACGTCACAAAGGTGGTGAGTAAGAAACATTCCGTGCGGTACAAGAGTTTGTGGAAGAAGAACTTCTATTTGAGAGGGAGCATGTGGAATTACACTTGAGGGAGAATGTTGAGAATGGGGAAAATATGAGTAGTGTAGATAATAATCTCACATTAGTTAGAAATATAGAGACTTGAACATTTATAAGTGAGAGAACTCATTCACCTATTATTTTAAGATTTTTGGTGAATATGTGATATCTCTCACAAAAGTGTTATAAGTACCAATTTGTTCTTTTTAATGAAAAAACTCCCCAGCAGTACAAAGACGAAGTACCAATTTGTTCTTTTTAACAAAAAAAGATAGTAAAATGCAATTGAGACTTTTCTGATCAGGGCCATAAGATGAACGGTGTATATCAGACTTTAAATGATAAAAATGTATTTTAGCCTAATTGTTTCCATCCAAATTTTAATTTATTTATACACATGAAACCAGATTCATCAAATTTCTTATACTCATATACTTGACAAATAAATAAAAAATCTAGTATATCTGCTTCAGTTATGCAATTATGCTAGATATACATTTTTCTTAGTTTGCTTGGTGTATGGAGGTATACAAGTTACAACAACAAACTGGAGTATACAATTTTGAAATTCTAAAACAAAACTTTAAAAAGACAACTATAATCTTCCTAATTTTCTTCATACATAAGTTTCATAGTAAGTCTTTTCCTCTTTGGTTGAGGCTATTTAGGGTCAAAAAAGCTCACATTAACACCAGTATCAATAATAACATATATACTAGCTGTAACTAATATGGCACTTAGACCAATCCCAAATGTTCCCAAGAACCAATTGAGATACCACATCAAACTATACTTCTTTGGCTTCTTTATTTTGAGCCACATGAAACATGGATATGCCAATGTCACTGGCAATGCTACTCCTCCAATCAAACCAGCCAAGCTCGACAAAAACGGAAGTGCCACTGCTATGAAGAAGGACAAACACCCAAAGAAGACACGGAAAATCACACGCAGCCACCATGGACATGGCTTCTTCATTCTTGTTGTGTAAACCGATTCCATGTCATCGAAAACCGGCATGCCATATATTTGAAACGAACACAAACCATTCACAACCACAAAAAAACTTGTTAACCCTAGTACAAATCTTGATACGTCACGCGAATGGAACATGTATAGGGCCGTGAGCATTCCTCCGTTTGCAGGAATCTGTATATTTTAAGTCAAATGATTTGTGATTAGTTGACAGTGTAAAATATATTGACAATGCATTACGATTAAAAATGAGATACATACGAGTTGGCCATAAGCCCAATAGCCGCCAATAGCTAAGGGAAATATGCAGGCAGCAATGAGTGTGTAAGAAGCCTTCACTCCTTTCCACATGGGCACATGTGATGGATGCTTCTCACTTGAAGGCATAGTAGCCTGCAACAAATTATAAAACCATGAGATCACAAAAAACACTTCAAGAATAAGTTTATCATTTAACAAATAATAATGTTTGTTTTTTCTTACATGATTGATTTAGTTTTTTAACTGAATTCCAGTCATGGACAGCCATAAGTTACACCCAATCAAATAACTAAAATTTAGCTCATCATTATTGAAAAATAAATATCTAGATTGTACCAGTAATTTCAATGTGAGTTGGATTAGTAAACATAAAGTCATAACTGTGAAATTTGACTATGCTTAATATTCAATACCCATCCTAATTTCTTTTCCTTATTCTGAACTTCATTGTGGACTAACTAATTAATATAAAACTACTAAGTCATCAACTAACTTCAAATTATGTGAGTAAAAACAAAAACAATTCAATATTATGTGCTTGACCCAGTAAATCTTATTGAAATTTTTCAACAACTTTGAAAGCAGTATTTCTCATCAAATTGTCAACAAAACTAATGCACCTACCTCAATACTAAAAATTCAAAAGAAAAAAAAAACATCAAATTGGAATTTAATTAGGTAAGAGAAATAAAAGAACCATGCCACATACCTGAATTTCAAGGATGAGATTGTGACCTCTAAAAGCAAAAGCAATGATCCCAAAAGCATTAAGCACACTAAAAGCATTTTCAACTTTATTCCCACCCCTCACAGGATTATAATTCACCCCTGGTAAAGCACCTTGTGCCACAGAAGCAGCCCAAATAGAGGTACAATACCCTACAGCAGTGACAGCTCCAATGAGGGAAACTCCAGCAATGGAATTCAAGTTTGGTAACTGAGACAAAACCACAGCCGCACAGGTGAAAACCAAGTACCATTCCACAGTAGTCATAGGTTTTGCAGTGCATGATTCTCCACATACAACTTGGTAGAATGTTCTAGCGGTTGATCCTCCTATGATGATCAGTGTAGTACATGTTCCCGCTGATAGGTACAGAATTGGAAATAATGCTAGTAATTTCCCCAATTTCTCACCTGAAAAATGTACGATTTCAATGTTTAGTTAATCGTGAAATCGTTTCATGTAATGATTGTGATGGAATGAAGTGAAGAAATTGGTACCGAATGTGGCGAAGCTGAGTTGAAGGTAACGGCTGTAGCGAACACCGTTCTCGACGGATTCGTGAAGATGGACGAGTAGCCATAAGGTGTATAGTTGCCATATGAATGCTATTGTCAAACTTATTATTCCCCATGTCCTGCAATCATCAATGGCAAATTACTTTTCATTTTAACTAATATTTGTTACATTTATTTAATAAAGCATCAAATTGTGCATGATGAGTAAAGATAATTCGCTACATTTTTTTTCTTCACTCTATTCCTAAATTTATTGGTTTTATTTTAAGCATTTTTAATCTATAGTCTGACATCACTAATAACTTTGTTAACAATTAAAATTGTCAAAATAAAATGAATGAAGAGTTTTTCTTAAATTACTTAAATATTTATATTTAAAAAATAGAGAGGAATACTCAACTTGAATTAAATGAATATAAAATATAGAGAAGAATAACTCAATTTGAATTAAATGAATATAAAATATCAGTCCATTATTTTAATTTATGGTTGCAGGACTTTTTTTTTTTTTGTACTTTTCATAATACAACAATATAATAAAAAAATTGGTAGTCTGTCTATACAATTTTAATTTTAGATGAATTTTAAATTTTAAATTATTGTTGAGTTTAATTTTTAATACTAATTATAATTCTTGTCTGATATTAGTTCTTATTTTATTTACAAAAGAATGTTTTTTTATAAGTTTCTATAAAATTATATATATATATATATATATATATATATATATATATATATATATATATATATATATATATATATATATATATATATATATATATATATATATATATATATATATATATATATATATATATATATATATATATATATATATATATATATATATATATATATATATATATATATATATATATATATATATATATATATGATTGATGATTCACTTATTCAAAGAGTAAATTTTTATAATTTACTCCACAATCATAACTTTTAAATTAAATTTAATGGAATGGTCATAATGAAAAACGATAATTTAACCACTAGTTAAATTTAATTTAAAAGTTATGATGTGGAATAAGTTAAAAAACTTACGGTAAATTGATCTCATATATATATATATATATATATATATATATATATATATATATATATATATATATATATATATATATATATATATATATATATATATATATATATATATATATATATATATATATATATATATATATATATATATATATATATATATATATATATATATATATATATATATATATATATATATATATATATATATATATATATATATATATATATATATATATATATATATATTAGTTTGGGAAAAATTTATGCAAAAATAAAAATTAAAAAGTTTGAATGTTAGAGTTTAAAATTATTATAACTCTAAAGGAAAAGTATTACAACTATAAACTTCTAAGTGACCCATTTCTAAATATATTTAATTCCAAAATAAATAATTACTACTAGTCTTTCATCCCCTTGCCTACTATCTTATTTCACAAAATAAAAACTATCACATGATTTTTTTCTTTTATATTAGTCTTAACTCCTTCACAAAAACAAAAGGAGAAATAATCATGTAGATCACTATAAATATTTCTTTTTATAATCATAGAACAAAATCTTGAATATCCAAATAACATAATCGTTGTCTTTAAAATATTTTAGATTATTTTTTCTTTAATTTGGAAAGGAAGTCCAGATAATTAAGATTAAATCAAAAATCATGATTGGAATGATAAGGAGTTAATGAGTTCAACTCTTTAGCACTATAACAAAATTAACAACCAAAATTTGAAAGAAAAAAGATTGAATAGTGAAATGAAACTTACCAACCAAGAATAGTGAAAGCAACAGGAAGAACAAGAGCTTGAATACCAATCCCAGAACAAAGAGTATGAAAAGCAGCATAGTATTTGTTACCATTCCTAGATTCAGTTATTGGTAACCAAGCATCTTGAGGATCAAGCTTAGTTAGTTTCAAAGCTTTTCTCATAGGACTTGCCAAAGGAGTAATAAATCTTGGAGTCAAAGACATTCTTGGTGTTCTAGGTGTTCTAGGTGTCTTTGGAGTCTTGCTCCTTGGATGTGGAGCATCTCCATTTTCTGATTGAAGAAGTGGTGATCTTGTGAGAGATGGTGAATGAAGCTGTGAAGGTGGACATGAAACTGGTGGTGATGCTACCATAGGTGTTCCCATCAATGAATTTCCTGTTCTAGGTGTTATTGGTGCTGACCATATTTCCTTAGATTCACCCATGTTATGTTTCACCAATTGTAGTTGTTTTTTTACCTTGTATTGTGTTGTTTGTTTCTTCCTATGTTTTGCACTTTGTGGTTTGTGTGTGTATATATAGATAGTGTGAAATAATAATGCATAATTTTATAAGGATAGGGAATCATGGAGTTTCTATATTACTTTTTGACAATTTGTTGTATATAAAACTCTTTTACAATAGCCATCACAATAATAAAATTAATATTTATGAAATCTAGTAAATAAAACAAAAATATTATAAAACCATTTGATCTGTTGGTATGCTGTTGTTTAGTGTGCATGAATTTTTCTACGGTGATTTTTTAACATATTTATATCAAAAAATTCAAAATAACAGATTTATTTAAAATATTTTGATTACTCTTTGTAATTTATTTATACTACTTACATTATTTTTAATTAATATTTTTTGTTTTATATTTATAATAAAAATAAATACATCAACATATATTAAAATATTATTTAATAAAAATAAAATATATAATGTACATGATAAGGAATTATAAATATTTTCTCATACATATATAATTTTTAATTTGTGTATAAATTTGTCAACTATCTTACTTGTTTTGGGTCGGTTAAGTATTATTTATGATTTTAATGATAATTAATTTAATAAAAAAATTACCTTAAAATAATGGTCAAGCCGGTAAGTATGCATAATGCAAACATGGTGTGTGTGTATTTTGAAAAGACGTATAGGTGACTTTATGTGACCAGGGCTGAATGAAAATAGCTATCTAGGTTGGTGGACATTTTTTTCAGTATTATTAAATTAAGCATATATGGTTGGTGATTAACTGTTAATTGATTTATTAATTTACTTTGAACATTGAGTTTGACCGTATTATATAAAATGGCAGCCAATTTGTGCTAATTGTGACATATAATAATTACCACTCCTATTCTATGATAAGGAATATAGTCATTAACATTACAGCGTGTACTTTTTTTTTTTTGACTAAATTTATTTATATTATATATAGGATATGAATCAAGCAGCACTAGTTTGTTGGTCAACAAATACACCTCATGGGAATTGTGAGTTTTCAAGTTTCAACTACCAGCAGGGATCCAAATCCCCAATCTATACCATGTTGTTGGTGGCAGGTTTGTTTGCATATATGAAAAATATATATATGCAAAAGAAGGATAAAAACAGGAAACATAATGAACAGAAAACTGGGAAAATACAATCAAAATCTAACCCTTTCCCCAACTTCAAAATATCTCTGTTAATTATGTCAAGTGCATCTCTTCCATCATTATTTTTTCGACACATGCCTTACATCACTTTTTAGTATCGATCATAGATTTACATGTATTCAAAGTTGTCTCCTTTAGTTGGCTAGGTGGAATTGTGTTAATCATGGTTTATCCCTAAAAACAATTTTTATATTTGTAAAATCGGCTAGTTAGATGATTTTACAGATAGACGGGTTTTCATCTATTGATAGCAAATTAAGCTAGGAGAAACACAACTGAATGTGAGCATTGTGATCATTTTTAAGAGTGATTATGTCACTAACCAAGTTTTGCATTAAAGATAAGATGGTTAAATGTAATTCATTTCAAGTTCATTTGCATTTCATTTGAATTTGTATTTGCGTTTAGTTTGAATTTCACTTCTGTCTTTGTATAAAACTCAAATGAAGTTGCATTTGTAATAGGATTGAACTTTTGCACTTTAAGTTTGAAAGTTAGTTACGCAACTCTCTCTCTCTACTTTTTACATCGGGGCAAAAGTACATTTTACATTGGGTCTGAGTCCGATGTCAATCCAAGCGATGTAGTAAATCAAAGACATTTTACATTGGACCGTAGACCGAATTGAAAAATACATCTACTACATCGGTTGATAGTTAAAACTGATGTGAAATATGAGTTGTAAAAGGTGTCATAGGTGAGTGTAATACCCCAAATTTTGCCCTAAGATTAGTCGTTTCATCTTGCATCCTATTTCATTTTGCATTGTGTTTAAACTAACCACTAACGGGTTGTGCAGTTGGTTGATTGTTGCAAGAAAATATCATGTGGCGCGCTCTTTTAGTTTACAGGGTTTCTAGTGTCACTTTATTTTGAATGAATAAAATAACACAATTGACAAGAGACTGTGTACGGAGTTGTGAGTGTGAGATGTCGAGAGTTCGAATCTCACCTTCTTCACTTTTTGTTTAGTTTCTTTTATTTTTAGTCTAACTTTTCTATTTTCATAAAAAAAAAATAACAAAAATAGTTTTTTTATTATTTAATTATTATTTTTGTATTTTATTTAAATTATTTTTAAAAAAATATTATTTTTTTCACTTTTTTCTATATTATTCATAAAAACATCCAAAAATCATAAAATTAAAAATATTAGAAAAGATTTTATTCTTTTTATAATGTTTTTAATGTTTAGTATAAATAAATAGAGTTTTAAGTTTGTTTTAGTTTGTTTAAATTTTATTTTAACATCAGAAAATCAAACGCAGGTCATCAGAGGAAGAGGGAATTTTTTCGGAAGAATCCTAAAAGGCTTGAATTCATCATCGGCCAAGCGCTACCGGCGAACAAAAAGTTCCAACGGCGGAGGCTCAGTTCATTCAACATCATCGCTGTTACCGTAACCTTTATTTTTCTTTTGATTTACATCATTTTACAATTTTTCTATGTTGTTTTGTTCATTGATTATAGATTAAGGGGAAGAATAAATAAACGAAGGAACCATTGACATGCAAGGAAAGATGAGGAGAAAAGACTCTGAACCATGGAAGACAGCCGACGCCGGTTAGAAATAAGAAAGGAAAGGTTTTTTCCCAAACCCTAAAAAACAATGTCACCGCACCACTCCATTCCTTTTATTTTTATTTATTTTCTTTTTTATCATATTATCATATTATTATTATTATTATTTAAAACAGTAATTAGTAATCACGTCATATTTTAATTTATTAGTAATCACGTCATATCCGTTTGATCCTGTCACGAGGGAGAGTTTACAGAAGCGCAGATGTTATTCTTTGCTCAATGCTCCAGCACCTTGTTAATCGATCCTACAGTCGTACAGATCCAGTTTTACTTTTACTCTAGAGTATCAGTCGGGCACGCTTGACCCTGTTGATAATTACTCTTAGATATTCCCTAGTGGAGGCCGTCTCACCAGTACCATATCCATTGTGGATCTCGTTCTTACCTTTCCTTGTCTAAAAGTGACAATTGGTCGTGTTAGCACCAGTTGACTATCCCTTTAGAATTCCCTAGTGCGTCGTATTCCCAGTGTGGTTCGTTCGTCGCGTCTCTCCTCTATGTCGTCGTATTCCCAGTGTAGTAATCACGTCATATTTTAATTTATTACTAAAACCTTCTTTTTATTATTAAAACTTTTTTTTTATAGTAAAACCTTTTTTAAAATTAAAATTTTTCTTAAACTAAAACGCCTTTTTGAGGATGAAAGTCTTTGTGTTTCAAAAATCAAAACCCTTTTTAAAATTAAAACCTTTTAAAATTAAAACCTTTTTTTTATTTTAAAACTTTTTAAATAAATTAATACTAACATTTTTCAACACTATACTTAAAATTATTTTCAGTTACTTACAAACCCTTTCATTCTAATTTCTAACCTAAAAGTCTAAAATAAAAATTCCCAACATTTCCGTTAATTATCATCTGACTTTTATTGGCTCTCATTTTGGCCGTGACTACTAATTCTTTTTTTTTCACATTTATTTTTATGGTTGTAATTTATGCGAGGACATCGTCGCTTTTATTTCGTTATTATTTTTACATTCTTTGGATTGTAATTTATGCAAGGTTATCGTCGCAGTTATTTATTTTTGCATTTTTGGGATTTGTAATTTACGCAAGTGATCGTCGCGATGCTTTCTTTTACCGCTTTCATTATCTTTCATACTTTAATTCTGTCGTATGATAATATTTGTTGTTTGCATGTTTTTTTACCGTTAATCACCCTCCGAAGGAATTAGGTCTAGTTGTCTGACCGCCGAGTCAATAACTCTAACCCTTTGACCATTTCAAAACCCTAATAGCCTAGGTGTCCCGCCGTGGACGAAAATGCCCTTTACCCTAACATTAGGTCAAAGAGTCGCCGTACTTTGTTTTAGGGTTTCCCGCCGTGGAACATTTAGTCAATCCCTAATTTAACCCTAAAATTCAATAACAAATTCAACGTAGAAATAGGAGTTTCGAAACTCCACGTAAGCGTGTCCTTAAGATACGTTTACTCCCCTTGAAACCTTGACCACCGTCAAGACGTTTCTAACCTCCTTTTCGAGGGAAACTACAATTACTCTGATTCCATTCCCGTCATGATATGTAGGCACAAGATGCGACGTCTTGCCGAGTAAACTTAGGACTAACCCTTAGGTCTTTTAGGTCACTTTATCCCTTAGCTCAATATATATTAAAGCAGATAATAAATAAAAGGCATACAATAAACAAAAGGTTCCTGTAGAGTACTACAGAAGTTTAGGGTGCTAGTAGCTTCCCTAAGCTTAACCAACCTCTTACCTAGGTTTCTCCCCGCATTGTGTTTACGATGCAAAAATAGGTTTTCCCTCTTTTGACCTTTTCCTTCGGATAAATCAAAGAGCGGTTGTGATTTAAGAATTGTGATTCAAACTAATTAATAGTTTGATATCCTATTTCCACCGCAACAGAAAATGGCGACTTCACTGGGGATACGACATCAGTATAATACTAGAGTCCAAGCTCGAAAAAGGATGGAAGAACAAGCTTAAGAGATCGACCGTGTCAGCCATGAACTCGAAGATCTTCGAGGAAGTGTGGGGCAGATTATGGAGATGTTGCAAGCCCTTAAGGTGAAGATGGATAATCAACCTACTGTTGTTTCTGAGATTACCCATACTTTTGTGGATCCTCAACCAGTCGTTACTATCAAGAATATACCGCCTCAAGGTCGTATATTTGGTTTGGTGCCTCCCACTATTGCTCAACCAGTTCGACGAGTTACTCCTCCAAAG